TCTTATCCTATAAAATAGGAAAAACCTACAAACACATAGCATCATTCTTTTCAAAGATAAATGCACAACCTTTTCCAAAACAATGAGTTTTCAAATATACTGAAACATTTTCCGTAAATTCACTTAGCCACTTTAACCACTAACTAAATAGAATATAGACTTTACTCCTCCAATACCTAACCTAAATTTAAGGAGCTATCTCAGGTGGATTTTAAGAGGTTTGTAACACCTTCCCCTTAGAATAACCCTTTACCCAAATCTCATCAGTTAGCAGACCATTAGGATAATAATTTTATAGACTTATAAGTACTCTAATATACCTTAAATATTAGGTGACAACTCTCTTTTATTAACTTTAGAAGAACCATTAGTTGTATTGTGTTTTGACTAGTGCAAAATAGGGTGCAACAATATGGTAACTCTGCAGGGGATGTACACTTAGGTTCTGACCTTAGCAGACTTAGGCTAGACTTGAACTTGGCGATATTTTGTTATATTCTTCTTTATTAATGTTTAACCTGCAAATATGTGTTTACTCGTTTTATCCTACTTGTTTACAACCTGCTAATACATGCTTACCTGTTTAATTTTAATATTATTATTATTTTACCACAATTATCTGTTTACTTCTTTATTTCCTATCGAGTCTTGGTTGTATACAATCACACATAATGGCATGCGAGCGTTGTCTTTTCATCCCTCCGAACCTTCTTTCAAAACTCTCTAACTTTAGAGAACAACTTTATCAAGTCAACTGACATAACGTTTCGAAGTCATTCAGTCGAACTCCAAAATTAGGAAACACTATACTCTTAGCAAACATAGGTCATGTTGCATAAATCTTAGGTGGTTCAGTCCTTGGTGTTGACTCACAATTAGGACAGCCACCTTAATGTTAACCGGTCATGCACCCAATGATATGCTTTCTATGGAATGATGAATCAATCCAGATGAGACACTAAGGATCTAGAGAAAAATACTTACCAATCCTTTCACCTCTTTAGATGGAAATTAATCATAACATCCCAGAGATTAACATGGTCATGGGTGCAACTCACAAATTGAAGTAGTGGTGGAGAAACATTCGACGGGAGCATGGAGACAAGATCAGGACACACCTAGGAGCAATAACCCCCCTGATGAACATCCGAGCTGACCGGGTACTCACCCGGTTGCTCATAGATTTGTGGGACCCAGCCAAGGTGGTCTTCAAATTTCTTGACTATGAGCTGATGCCAACACTAGAAGAGATTACCATTTTCAGGGAGTTACCATTAGCCGGGCAGAAGCCAATACTGCCAGTCATCATGCCAGACCACATATTCCTCCATGCACTAGGTCTGAGGGGCAACAAAAACTTGAGAAACACCGAGGATGGATAGGTGAGTCTGGACCAGCTACTTGACAAATTTGGGCACCAGGAGAGCTATGAGTCGTATCTTGAGGAATTCCAGTGTGATCAAGCGGCATGGGAGATCCTTTGCCCCCTAAACGTTTCTCTAGCACTATTGGGACTTTTCGTTTTCCTACAAAGAAAGGGGCTGATCAATATCAATCCACTGCCCATGGTTTTGGCTACCTTCTGAGGAGACCTGGGGGTCACTCTTATCCCCTTGATACTGGCGGAGACATTCCAAGAACCGTCGGCGTGTTCAAGAGGATACAATTTCTTCAAGGCTGCAACTTGCTATATCAGATATGGGCTATAGAGCATTTCTTCCATAGGGAACCGACCATCGACTACTTTGTTGGCACCCGTAACATGATCTGCAACCACAATGAAAGGATGAGGTATTGGGCTATACCACGTGGCTAGGAGGAGTGGAAGGAACTTCTAACCCACGTGAGCAAAGAATTCATCCACTGGAAACTTTCTTGGTTGAGTGGTAGAGCGATCCTGAGAAGCCCGGGAAAGAACTTCATCGAGTTGGTAGGTCTGGAAGGGATTCAACCGTACCCATCACTGAGGGTTGTTAGGCAATTTGTTCTGATTAAAGATGTGCCATTTGGTCAAGGACAACTTTCTACGAGGATGATTACAATTGGCAGATTCCAATCCCAAGGGTAAGAAAGCTCGGGACGAGTGGAACGACCTGATCACAATGGGAATGGGGCAAAACCTCTGGTGCATGCCTGAGTGCTTTTTATTGGCACATCTGGCTGTAACAATGCTTCCACAACCACCCCGCTTCCCCTTACTAGATTCAATCCCCGACCATTTTCCTTCATCAACCCAACAAACAACTAATACCCCACCAACTATCACCACACACCGTGCTATAACTCAAGTCATACTGCCACTAACCCCCGTAAATCCACCAAATCCTCCCATACACACACCTTATGTTCCCAACTATGTCCAAGCACCACAAAATCCAACAACCACCACCAATTTGGTCCATATCCCTCCTCGTGACAATGTCACTCTCACCAAAAACCACACGCAGTATATACATGTGGCACACACCGCCATACATGAGCGGTATGTTTCACCCGTATATGTTGCTTCTTAACACCACCCTTTACCGCACATGTCACAGTTAGAGTGCCTTATGAGATAGATCAATATGCCAATATGGAGAGAGAATCAAAATGCAAGGATGATGAGTCACTGTCCAAGTTGCTCGAGGAGAGAGAGCTTGGATTATGAAGAGCTATGCATACACTCTGATGTTGACATGCCCGTAGAGTACAAGCCTCCAAAGTTTGACATCTTTGATGGAACAGGCGATCCCCATGCTCACTTGAGCGCATATTGTGACAAGTTGGTCGGAGTGGGGAGAAACAAAAAGTTAAGAATGAAACTATTTATAAGGAATCTGACTGTGGAAACGCTTACTTGGTACACCAGACAGGACCCCAGGAATTGGAGGGAGTGGCAAGACATGGCCGTAGATTTCATGAAAATCTTCAGGTTTAACACTAATATCACTCCGGATATATTTGCTTTGGTAAACTTACAAAAGAAGTCCTCTGAATAATTTCAAGAATACGGTCGTTATTGGAGATCACAAGTTGCTATGGCACAACCCCCATTGGATGATAACAAGCTGACTAAGTATTTCATCCGTGGTCAAGAAGGAATCTACTTCGAGAAGATGATGGGGATGATGGGTCATAAGTTCCCTAAGCTGATTAAAATGGGAGATTTCATGGATCCAGGTATTAAGTCAGGAAAGATACAGTCAATGGAAGTACAACAAGCTGCTAGCAAGGCTATACAATCTAGTTCCATCGGTAGTGGGAAAAAAAAGAAAGAAGAAGTGACGACGATTGTCCGCTATTATCAATAGAGTCCTCCTTGTCGAACCACCCCTGCCCCACAAACACTCATCCTCCACATAAACCCACATATACCCCAGTACATAACGCCCAACCATACTACAACACTCAACCCCACTACAACCCTCCACGAGCCAATACACATCCAAACCCACCACGACCATATGCTCCTGTTCAAACCACTACCCACGTGGCTGGGATGCGACGTCAGGCATTATGATGACATCTGTTTCCGATGCGTCACATCAAAACATGCGTTTCGACTGTGGCTGAAATCATGATGAGTCACTTCGAATCCCAAGATCCCTCCTTTAAAAAAAAGGGATGATCACCGCTACGTTAATCCTTTCTCTTTTTTCACTACCTGAATTTCCTTTATCTTTGCTAAATTTTCTTTCCTTTCCCATCATTCTCTAATGTTTTCTTCCATTTTTCTCAACTCTTTTCCTTCATAAATTCCATACCTTCACAAGCATGTCTCGCTCATCTTCTGGTGTTCGTGGTGGAGATGTTCCTAGCATAAATGAGGAGGTTCCAGCCACGTTACTGGCTGTTACCACCATTGCCATTGAAGCAGAGGCTCTTCCCTCGGTGGAGAAGATAATTTCTCAGAATCCTGAAGCGTAATTAGACCTGTAACGGTAGCCGGAGGCGGTGGTGGAGGCTTTCCGGTCTTCTTTAATGGCCAAGTGTTTGGCGGAGTTTAAAGCCAAATATGGCGTTCCCAACCAAGTGGAGCTTGTACCCGCGCGCAATGACAAAGTGTATACTAACGGTCCAAGATACTAGGCCCTGTATACCTACCTACCCCTTCACCATCATCTATTCTTTTCCTCTTTCCCCTTTGGTGGAGAAATTCTGCCGCCATTACCGGATCTTCCCGGCCCAACTTGCGCCCATGGTTTACAAGGTAATCAAGATATTTTTTTAAGTTTGTCGAGCTAGCCAATGTCGAAATTAGTCTGCGACGTATTGTGTATTTGTACATGCCTAACTTTTATCGGGGTACGTTGTTGAACATTCGCCACCGAGGAAGCAAATCCATGGTCGTCAAGACAGACGATAAAGGTAGTCGATAGTTTTGGCTAGACTTCTTTTTTGTCAAGACTGAGTCCGGTGTGGCCGATGTCACAGACTTCCCGGAGTATTGGAAGCACACTCGTAAGCACTTTTACTCGTCTATGTTCTTTCATATGATCATGCATATTTGACTTTGTGGGATGACTCTTCTCGTCTTGTAGCTACTGCTCGGAGCCTCCAGTTTGTGACGCACCATGGGTCAGGCAGGTCCTTCCTTGTACTGTGGGGATCCGAGATTGATCTAGTTTTTGGCAAAAGTACAAACTGGCTTCCCCTCGAAAGGTATCATTAGTACGTTATTTTCAGATGGTGTTGTATTCGATTTTGTTGGTCTAATTATGTTTGTCTTCGTATTGCTTTCTAGGTCCTGCCAAGGAGGTTGTCAAGAGGAACCTGGCGCTGATACCTTCCACAACAAAAACATTGACTTTTAACGACCAAATTCTAACGAAGAGATTTTAATCCGGTCGTTATAAGTGTATCTATGACGACCAATTTTCTTTCTGGTCATCAAAATCAATTTTAGGAGTAATATTAACGAAAGGATAATTTTCGGTCTTTAAAAATAATAAAATTCAGACGTTAAATATAACAAAATTGGGCGCTATTTTTCCGCTCTTTTTTTGCCCAACCCACAATTGGCCCACGCACCCCTCAACTCACTTCCCCTCTTCGCCTCCCCCCCTTTCCCTCAAAAGAACCGTACTGTATGTTTTATATAACTATACAATAACTTACAGTTACATGAGAAATAATAGCTAACATCTCACAAATTGAACTCTACAAAGAATCACAATTTGGTTTCCTCTCTGCAACCTAGGGTTTCATTCTTCTTCTCATCAAGGTAAGCTCTAAACTTGTAGTAAATTATTTTGAAATTGGGCATTTTTTTATGTTATCAATTCTCTCTCTGTTTTTCAAATATTGAGTTTCTTCTTATAATTACATATGCTTCAAATTTATAATTACAGGTATGTTTTATGAATATTGATGTTGAATGTGCAGAAGTTGTTTCTTTATTTTCATTGAATTTTGCTCGTTACATAATAGCTATGTGTATTCATCTTTAGAGCAGATTATTTTTTGGAATTGGGTTTGATTGCATATTGTTATTGGGAAAAAAGCTTCTCAATATCTGGTCATGATTGTATTGTAAACTTTCTCTAGTGAAAGTAGGGGTGGGCACAAAAATAAAAAAGAAACCCAAAAACGTGCTAGAAGGGGGAATGTAGGAACTAGGATAGCAGTCAAGTTCTCAAGTCATAATGGAGGCTAGCAAGAATGGGCACCAAAATCTCCACTTCGGGTCCTTCTGAAACGAACTTTGCCATACTTGCTCCATTTTAGGCACAAATATATGAATCAGATAAATTATTGACTTGATATAAACTGCCTAAAGTCTATTTCTTGTAATTACCGGTTGTCCTTGAAAATCTGCTTTAATATGCAGCTAGAATAGGGTGAACTAATGTCTATGAACAAACAGGTTGTAAGAAAGTCGCTAATTCTAACCGCAAAACAGGTCTACGTCTGAACCTAATTAAGTTGGTTCTTCGGTACAGGTTCTTCGTTTTTCGGTACGGTCTTCGGTATTGGGATATCAATATTTCGGTTCTTCGGTTAGGTATTCGGTATTAAGGTTTCTAAATTTCGGTATACCGAAATACCAAATTTTTTTAGTATGCATATTAAGTAGCTTAATTTAATCAAATCTGAGTCCAACCCATAAATCCATCCAAGTCTCATTTTTCCTTTTAGCTTATCAGAATACATTGAAATTACTATTACAGTGAAGTAATAAAATTAAGCTTGAGAAAATTTGGTTTATTTGCTGCTACTACCTCAATTCAATGCCATATTCTGTTTATTGCATAAACTTTTACTGATCTTTATAAATAGAAAACATTTTTTGTCTATCATTAACTAAGAATATTGATCTTCAATAACTACTAAAAGATGTGTACTTACTGCATCTAATAAATTAGCAAGAATAATATGTGATTATCTCATAATATAACAGAACATTCAACTTTAAGTAATCTAGACTCAAAATACATAGAATAACTTCTGCTTCTAACCCCTTAAACAATAAGTAGAATTCCAAAATTTCGCAAGGTCAATATCGCTACTGGGAGTGGATTTTGCTGCATTTTCATTTTGTGAGTTTGTATAATCCGTTGGTTAACCAGATGACGTCATATTTGTTATCGTGCTTTCTTCTATTTTTCATGTCAACAACTCAGGTCCCTCGCTCTTTTTTGTTGAAGGATGAAATAAATAAATAATTGTTGTGCATGAACTCTGTTGATCACCATCCTGCTTCACTATGAAAGGCTTCTGTATTTTTCAATCTCTTATTTTTCGATCACTTATAGAACCCATTTTTCCTTAGCTAAACTTTTTCCTTTTCTTTTATGATATATCGACAAGATAATATAATATTTTATCTAATTTTGGTACTTTTCTATATTCAAGAATGTGCTATAAAACTTTTACATTTTTTTATGAATAGACAATGAACTTATTTCAAGTATTTAGATAATTCTAATTCACTGGCATATTACTGGATAGCAGTCAACTAATCAGATACCTCTGCTCCTGGATTTCTACAAAGATATCTATTTTGTTCTTTGAAGTGTAACTTTCATATATTCTTTAGCACATAGTGTTTTTAGTAATATACAAAAAGTAATAGCAAGTGTTTGTAGGTACAAAAAGAAATGGTAGTGTCTCTACAATATGGAGGTGCGACCTTTTTCATTTTTCTTTTCAACTCTTTATTGATATTGAGCAGCATTAGATAGTTTCATTCAAGATACAAACAAACACAATAGTAGTAGGAAAAAAATGACATAAATTTCATGAATTAGCTTGTTTGATATTTTTATCTCAATGTAATTATGTGTGCTGATACCAAAAAAGATTCTTGATCAAAGGAAAGTCCCTGAATTAACTAGAGAAAATGTCGCCAGCCATTTGCAGGTTTACTTCTGAATACATATATTTAACTATAATTGGTATCATGGCTTTCACATATTAAATAGGTTAAGTTATGTTTGATTTCTGTATTACTTGGTTTGAACTAGTCCATGTAGGTGAAGTAATGTTTGACTTCTGTATTACTTGGTTTGAACTAGTGCATAATTTCATAAAATAGGAGAACATAGATTTCCGTATTTTGTCTTACTTCAATTATTAAGTTATTCATGACTATCTATATGGATATCAACCGCCCATCAGCTTTGATCATTAGAACCTCACTTTGTTTGATTCTTATATTATGATAATGTAACACTCTTTTACACCAGTCATACCAACCGCTTCTTATTACGGTACATTACTTTTTTTTGTTCAGTTACCATCAGTTAATTTTAAAGTTGAAAAACTTTTTACAGTATATTAGCTCTTATAATTTGTAAAGTTCACTCGTAATAGTGATTTTTAGTCTATGTTGCTCGTGTGATGATACAAATGTCATTAATGTTATAATACTATATGAACTCTTATGAATAAGAAGATGATAAACATTAGTAAAAAATATGAAAAGAAGAGTAGGTCCTCACCCGAAATTAACTTGATGGTGAACAGATTTTGCATCAATGAACGAAAGTGAGAAACTCAGCCTCTTATTTGGTTAGTATATCTTTTTCCCTTTCTTGGGTTATCTCTCTGTCTAAAGGTTAACAATAAAGATAGAAATGTGAATTTGATGAAGATATGCAGTCGATAGTAACAGAAGAGCTCTTTCAAGATTTTGGGAGAAGTGACAGGAGAATAAAGGAAGGAGCTTAAAACGTACTGGCGGTATAAAAAAATTTACACAATCGGGTCACTTGTAAGATCATTACAATAAGATTGTATGATAATTATTAAATGGTGATCTGCTAAAAATGGTTGTACTTGCTATCACAGCTTAAACTATACTGATAACGTAAAAATTATTTTACACTAGAATATAGTGAATTCCATCCATTTTCTATTTCCTACGATGCTTATATTATCTTTCTGATTTTTGTTGTTGTCATAGATTCTATTGTCTATTTTCTTCTTCTTGAGCCGAGGATTTTTTGGAAACAACCTTTCTATCCCTCCGGGATAGGGGTAACATCTGCATACATTCTACCCTCCCTAGACCCCACTTATGGGACTTTATTGGGTTGTTATTGTTGTTGTATTGTTGTAATTATGTGTGCTAATTTATTTTGCCTGCTTTTAATAATTTTATTTTTAGAAATTTGTCTCTTAATTGTTGTTGTTTTTAACCCTTTTTGTTTATATCTTTTATTGATTCCCCTTATGTTCAAAATCATCCAAGTCATTTATTAAGAGGATCCTCCACCATGATTTGGTGGTTTTGTATTCTCAATTACATGTTCCGCAATTTGTAAATCCTCTCTGTATCTGTTTCTGATTTGTTCATCTTTAGTGATAGTTTTCCCTATCATGTTCTTGACTTTGCTTCACTGGCTGATGTTGTTGGTTTAATTCACTTGTAGTTGAAATATCACCCTGTTCAACTCTTCTTGGTCTTCTCCTTCTTCGTTGTTGGCCAAACTATCTGTTCTTGTCCTGCTCATTCACTTTTTGCACAGTTATGCCCTATGCTTATACATTTAGTATTATTAGCTTTCTCTTTCACCATGTTTGGAACTTTTTAATAAAGGTTATTTGAATTCCAGAAAAATTTATGTCTTATGCTTTAGATTTATAATCGCCATGTTTTATTTATTTACTCCAATTGTTCAATTAACACGATGATTAAATTTATTTATTTGTTTTTTTTAAATAAAATAGTTAGAGAAGTTTTTACTAAACTGACATGAGCTTGTTCTTTCAACATGCCAAAAATTTGAAGTATGAAGATGTCATTGAAGAAAGTACAAAGCAAGTTGATGCATATTAGATCTTATAGCTTTCTTGGCGGTTGTTTAGGGATGTTGTCATTGTACATATGTTATAATTTTGTTTTCTCTCTTTTAGGATTTGATAGTGAAAAAGTCATACAGTTTAGATGTGTATTCTAGTAATGTGTTATTTTATTATTCTTTCTAGTTGACATATTAATTTTATGTGAATACGTGTGGTTATTTATTATTTTTTCTGATGTGTATGTATAAGTATATCGAACAATGAATATTATTGCGCAAACACATGGAAACATTTATGAATTATCTAATTACATTTATTAAAATTTCATATAAGCGAAGGAAAATATGGTCTTTACAACTATTTAATGATTAGATTATCAAATTGTTGAACAGGCTTTAGCGAAAAAAAATAGTATTAAAAGTAACATAAAGTTAACGAAAGGGACCTCCGGTCGCTAAAAGTAATTATAGTAATAGAATTTGTGGTTGTTTTTTAAGAGCTTTAACGACCGGATGACAAATCAACGAGGGAAAATTCGGTCACAAAAGAGTTAGTATAACGAACATAAAATATGTCGTCGCTTAAGAATCTTTAATGACCGAACTCCAATCCGGTCGTTAACTTTTAACGACGGCGCATTAAGTGACCGGTGACGACCAGTTTTTGCCCGGTCGTTAGTGACCTATAGCGACCATATTTGGGCTTTTAACGACTGAATTTTTTATCGCTAATAATCACTTATCTTGTAGTGTTCTTTCAAGAGAAGGAGGGGCATTGCTTCCTCTACTCCTGCCTCTTGTTCGACCTTTATACCTGTTATCCCATCGGCTCCTTCCAAGGTTGAGGACGATGAGGTTTCCCCAAGTGGCATGGACTTGAGGCCCCGAAAGAGGAGGACAGTAGATAGTGAACTTGTGCACCAGCGGTAGTTGACTTATCTTAAGTCTCCCCTGTGGTCGAGGTGAAAGATGATGTGACAATCGTGGCCGAGGGAGATACTGGTGCGGCCCTGGAGGTGCCTCGGTTGGAGGAAGCCAATGTTGCGGCTTCTCGGCGGTCTGAAGGGAACGAGGTTACCATGAATGCCTCTAGCAAAGATCCCACACTTCCAGGGCACGAGGAGGCTCTGTTTGATGAACTAGCTCAGGAAGCTTTCCCGGCTAATAAGGGGAAAATAATGATGCTCTCCGAGTAGTGCGACGAGCGAGCTGAGCCCATTGGAGATGAGTCTGACTCTGACTTCGATGTTGTAGAACATGAAATGATTGACTGCAGAACGATTCATGTCGAAGTGAGAGTAGAGGGAGGGTCAAGGACGATCACGGCCCTGGTAAATCCCGACCTACTTAAGAACACTTAGGATGTGATCCAGGCCTTCGGCCCCTTCAGTTCTGATGCCGAGCATCAGACTCTCGGGGGGCTTAGTGATATCACTCTATCCAAGAGTATCATCGGCCTTGCTCTCAAGTAAGTCATTTCCTTTTCTTCTCGGCTTTGGTTTTCTTTTGAATCTTTTCTTATTTCCTCTTTTTCTTTTTCACGTGTAAGCCGTTATCCTAGAGATCGAGAGTGTTCAGAGGGAGCAGAGGTAGAAATAGGTTTACTACAAGATGAGGACAATGTTTGATGAGTACCAAAGGCGGTACATGGAAGCTGAGAGAAGGCTCCGCGAGGGGGGTGACATGACCACCCTTAGGGAGGAGCTAAAAATAAAGGATGAAGAGCTACTCGCATCCGTGGAGTGGCTTAGCTCTCCGGAAGGGGCGCTGAAAAGGAAAGACGGGGAACTGGAGTTGAGCAAGGGTGTTGAGGCTTAGTGCCGCGACCTTCAGAGTCGGGACGACCAGTTGTAAGATCAATTGGATGAGCGCCAGTTTGAAATGGAGGGGCTGAGGGAGGTGGTAGCTGGTAAGCTGCAGCTGATCGAGGAAGCGGAGTCTACCTGGAGACAAGCTCAGAGGAGGGCTGCCCATTTTGAGTTGGCGAATAAAAGTATTCCGGCTTACCGGGATAATGTTCAACCGACAGTTGATGCTAAAGAGGCTCAACTCGAGGAGAGGATCGACGAGTTGGTGAGAGAATGCCGAGCTGCATGAGCGGGTTTTTGCTGCTGAGGGCGAGAACGCTGGGATGCTCGAACGACCCTCCACTTCTCATACCTCTGAGTTCCCGACCATTCCACGAGAACAGTATGAGGGGTGGATTCTTGCCAAGGCCCCAGTAGAGGTGGTTCAAGAGTTGGGCTAGACAGATTTGTTCTATGATACTTCCTTGGAAGAGGCCCGAGTTAAAGCTCGTTAAGCTCAGTTGGCCTATGGTTATGACTTCGACACGCCTCAACCTAATGCAGAGGGTAATGATGAAGAGGACCTCCCCGAGTTTGAAGACAGTGCTTGGTGTGACTCTGCTTATAACCGAGGCAATAATAAAGAGGACGGTGGAGACCAAGGTGGAGGCAGTGATTAGGCGCTCTGCTCTTGTTTTGTAGGAGCTTTTTGTACTTTTCTCCTTTTTGTTGGCATCTTTATATGCCTGTGTAAAGACTCTTATCTAAATATTAAAGTCAACTTTTATTTTAAGCGTACCTTTTCTATCCTTGCATTCCTTTTTGTTTTTGTGGTTGTGTACTTTACTTCTGCACTTCTTCCCTTTATTGTTGCCCTCTGGGTTCTGATGGCTCTGGGGCTATGGAACTCTGCTCAAGGAGTTGAGTGAGTGCCTTTTGTGTAGGTGTGGAGTGGACACGTGCCGAGGAGTTTAGTTTGAGTTGTTCGAACATATGTCTTTTTAGTTAAGACGTCGCCAGGGGTCTAGGAGTCTTGTTTATGTTGTTCAAACATGCCTCTTAGTTGAGACGTGGCCAAGGGCCGAGGGGGTTTGGAGCTGGTCAAACACTCTTAGTTGAGACGTGGCCAAGGGCCGAGGGGTTTTGTTCGAGTTGTTTGAACGTACCTCTTAGTTGAGAGATGGTCAAGGGCCAAAGGATTTTGTTCGAGCTGGTCGAACGTACCTTTTATTTGAGAGACTTAGGAGAATAGTTCTAACAAATAGGTATCTCATTCTTCTTAATCACATTGTGTCGATTACATCGTTTTGCCCTGACGGTCCATCCCAATAGGCTCCTAATTTCCCTTCTCGTGGGTCTTTTCATGCTTGGGCCCTTGCCTTGAGCATGTAGTCCCCGACCTTGAGTAACCATACTCTGGCTTTTCCATTGTAGTAGCGTTCTGCTTGTTGTTTCTGTGCGACCATTCTTACATATGCCATGTCTCTCCATTCTTCGACTTTGTCATGATCCTATCTTCTGTTCTCGTCATTGTTGCTGCCGCTCTCATTGGTGTATCTTAGGCTGGGTTCCCCTACTTCAGCTGGTATGACTGCTTTAGACCCATATACTAATGAGTAAGGTGTTTCTACCGTGCTTGTTTTTGGGGTTTTCCTATGTGACCACAATACTCCTGGGTGTGTCTCAAGCCATCTTTCCTGACGAGCTCCCTAGGATTCCGCCAGACAGGGAAATTGATTTTGGGATTGATGTGATGCCAGACACGCATCCTATATCTATTCCACCCTATAGGATGGCACCAGCAGAATTGAAGGAACTAAAGGAACAATTGAAGGATTTGTTAGAGAAGGGTTTCAGCCGACTGAGTGTGTCTCCATGGGACGCACCGATTCTCTTTGTGAGGAAGAAAGATGGATCACTAAGGATGTGTATTGACTACCGGAAGCTCAACAAAATCACAATAAAAAACAAATACCCACTACCAAGAATAGATGATTTGTTTGATCAGTTACAAGGTGCTAGATACTTCTCCAAAATTGATTTACGATCCGGGTATCACCAATTGAAGATCAGGGAGCAGGATATTTCGAAAATAGCTTTTAGAACCCGGTATGGGCATTTTGAATTTCTAGTGATGTCTTTTGGGCTAACGAATGCCCCAACAGCTTTCATGGACCTTATGAATCGGGTTTTCAAGCCTTTCTTTGACTCCTTTTTGATAGTGTTCATTGACGATATTCTTGTGTATTTACGAGGTCGGGAGGACCATGCCGATCATCTCACGATAGTTTTGCAGACTCTTCATTAGCACCAATTGTATGCGAAGTTTTCAAAGTGCGAATTTTGGCTAGAATCTATCACATTCTTGGGTCATGTTGTCTCTAGAGAAGTAATTAAGGTTGATCCTCAAACGATTTCAGCAGTAAAGAATTGGCCTAGACCTACAACGCCCACCGAGATTCGCAGTTTCTTGGGCTTAGCAGGGTATTATACGAAGTCTGTGGAGGGGTTCTCTACTCTTGCCTCTCCGTTGACTAAATTGACTCAGAAAGCGGTTATGTTCCAATGGTCTGATGCTTGTGAAAGGAGCTTCTAGGAGTTGAAATCAAGATTGACTATAGCGCCGGTGTTGACCCTGCCGGAGGGTACGGACAAATTCATGGTATATTGTGATGCTTCATGAATTGGGCTTGGGTGTGTGTTTATGAAACACGGGAATGTTATAGCATATGCTTCTAGGCAACCCAAGAATCATGAAAAGAATTATCCAACACATGACTTAGAACTTGCGGCGGTAGATTTTGCATAGAAAATTTGGCATCACTATTTGTACGGGGTCCATGTGGATGTATTCACGGACCACAAGAGTCTTCAATATATTTTCAAACAAAAGGAGCTGAATTTGAGGTAGAGAAGATGGCTTGAGTTACTCAAGGATTATGACATTGATATTCTATATCACCCAGGGAAAGCCAATGTTGTGGTGGATGCTCTTAGCCGGAAATCTATGGGTAGTTTAGCACACTTGGAGGTATATCAAAGGCCATTGGCCAAGGATGTCCATCGATTGGCTAGTTTGGGAGTTCGTCTTGTGGACTCTAGTGAGGAAGGGTAATTGTGTAAAATAGGTCTGAATCGTCGCTTGTTGTGGAAGTCAAAGAGAAGCAATACAATGATCCATCTTTGGTGCAA